CGATGTATGTAACAGATCAACCTAATTTCTTGAATGCCGCATGCAAGGTAAGATTAAAATATTTTCAATTTATTAACAAAATATAAGGCTCATATAAATTGAATTATCTATAAAGATTGCCACAAATTTGAAGCCTGAAGAGTTGATTAAAGAACTCTGGGTTGTAGAGCTAAATCTGGGACGATCTCGAGAAAACACTGTCAGGAATGGTCCAAGAACAATTGATTTGGACATTCTGTTTTATGATGATATTGACTGTTCAACAAATACTTTGGTTATACCACATCCATCGATGTGTGAGCGAGAATTTGTGTTAAGACCTTTGTGTGAGTAAGTAACAAATATATCTATTTGTGTCGTTATATTTTAGAAATCTATTGTTTCACGAATTTTGTTTTCAGCATCGCAAAAAGGTTTGAACATCCAAAGCTTTATAAGACATGTGAACAATTGCTTTCTCAACATCTAAATTCACCTGATTATGATAAAAACAACATTGTTCGTAAGGTCTTGCCTATTCAAAATTCGAGATGGATTTGGAATTCAAAAACATATATAATGGGTGTTATCAATGTGACTCCTGATAGTTTTAGTGACGGGGGACAATTTTATTCGGTAGAAAATGCAGTTTCTCACGCGGAAAAATTAATAGCTGAGGGTGCCGACATTCTTGACATTGGTGGAATGTCTACGAGACCAAATGCTGATGAAATTCCCGTTGAAGAGGAACTTTCACGTGTTATTCCCGTCATACAAGCAATTCGTTCGAAGGGGATTACAGATATACCTATCTCTATCGACACTTATCGTGCAGTAATTGCGGAGAAAGCGATAGCAGCAGGTGCCAATTTAATCAATGATGTTTCCGGTGGTCAATTGGATCCGGATATGTATCGTATCATGGCAAAAGCCAATGTTCCAATATGTCTTCAACACATGCGAGGGAACTCTAAAACTATGTTAAAGCTTACTCAATATGAAGATATCATAACAGATATATGTTCGGAACTTTTTGAGCGAGTTGATCGAGCCATCGAAGCTGGTGTCAAACGTTGGAATATAATTATCGATCCTGGTATAGGTTTTGCAAAAGATCACGAACAGAATTTTCAAATACTTAAGCGATTACATGAACTTACGGGAAAGAACAGCCCATTTGAAGGATTTCCTTGTCTTGTGGGACCATCTCGTAAAGGATTTATTGGCGAGGCAACGAAGCAACCGAATGCAAAAAAACGTGGGTGGGGTAGTGCAGCAGCATGTACAGCCTCAATCGCAGGCGGTGCTGATATATTAAGAGTCCACGAAGTAAAGGAAATGGTTGATGTTGCCAAGGTTTCAGATCGTATTTGGCGGTAATGATTGTAGTCGATTAAAAACCTATAATCTTAATGATTCTATGATTTTGGTACTACTAGGCTAGCTTAGCCTTATTATTCTCTAAAAATTAAATATGTCAATAATATTTCAAAATTTTGAACTAAAAACTATAATCCGAAAACTCCATTAACCATACTCGTATTTTATATTTGAAAAATTAATGGGGTGTACTTTAGGCCATACAAAATTAATTTTTTGTTTCTTATAACATTACAGCTGTTCTCATAAATTTTGTAAAAAATTGACCGAATGATTATTTGGCCGATTCGATAAGTTATTGATTTCGGCATAACATTTATTATTTACGTAGATAGGTACTTACGTACGTACCTGATACCGATTTACTTATTTGCGCGGATAACACAAACCAAAAGAGGAATCAAATTTTGTAAAAAACCAAGTGCGTAAAAATAGAAGTTTAGGATTAAGACGTTAGGGTTGTGAGCTTTAGCGATAAGTTGGAGTTTTTTTATATGTAAAATTTCATCCCCGTTATTTTTTATTAGTCAACTAAGGTCGATTTAAACACTAGTTTTTGAGT